TTTCTTCATTTATTATGTTCCTGATGTCATTCTACAACTTGTTTGGCCAGCTGTCATTGGTATTCAGTGCTTCAAATCTCTTCTTCAGATGGTCTCTAAATTCAGGTGATTTATATTCAAGATCATATTTTGGCTCTTGTTTTAATTTTCTTCAGCTTCAACTTGAACTTGCATATGAGCAATTGATGGTCTGTTCCATAGTCAGCTCCTGGCCTTGACTGAAGATATTGAACTTCAACATAGCTCTTTCCACAGATGTAATTGACCTAATTCTTATGTATATTGTCTGGTATGATCCATGTGTATAGCCACTGTTCATGTTGCTGAAAAAAGATATTTGCAACAAATAAATCATCGGTCTTACAAAATTCTATCATGCATTCTCTGGCATTGTTTCTATCACTGAGCGCATGTTTTCCAGTTACTGATGTTTCTTCTTTGTTTCCAACTTTCACATTCTAATCATTAATGATAATTGATACATCTTGATTATATGTTTGGTCAATTTCAGACAGCAAGAATTGGGAAAAAGTGTTCAATTTCTTCATCTTTGGCTTTAGTGATTGGTCCAAAAATTTGAATAATAGTTGTATTACCTTGTCTTCCTTATGGGGGTATGGTTATTATCCTGTCACTGAAAGCATTATACTTCAGGATAGATTTGAAATATTTTTATGGCAATGAATGCCATGCCATTTCTGTTCAATTTGTCATTCCTACCATAGTATAGTATAGTATAGTTTCATTCAAAATGGCCTATACCAGTCCATTTCATCTCATTAAAACCCAGAATATCAATCTTACGCAAATGAGGTACCCTAGTGTCTAAGGCATCTACCAAATGCCTTAGGCCTTATGCTACCTCAGGTAGCGTAGTGCCTAAGGCATTTGACTGCTAATTAGAAGACTGACAGTTTAAACCAACCAGCCACTCCTCAGAAGGAAGACTGGGCAATCTACTTCCATAGTGATACCATCTCAGAAACCCAAGGAGGGGTCGCTTTTAGTTGGATCTGACTCGACAGTAGTGAGTTTGGTAAATAGGCATACATATATATTTTTTCTTTCTCTGTGATTTATATTTTATGTCTTAAAATTTTGCCTTTTTTGAGCATAAAATTTAATTTTTATATAATCTGTTATGTCTCTTTTCCAATTTTTGCCCTGTTTTAAAAATAGTTGCCTATACTGAGCTCACTGAAGTGTTCTATATTTCCCACTCACTAAAATGATAATGTTACCTTTCAAATGTACATCTACAACCCACCTGAAGTAGAAGTCCAGACATTGTATTGTAAGATAGTGTTTTAAAATTGTATTTAGCTAATATGAAATGTTCTTTCTGTGTTTCATATTCTGTTTTATAGTTTACTTTCACTATCATTTCACTGATATCATATTTTATTATTTATAGTAGCCTTATAACAGTTCTTGGTGATATTGTTTAAGTCCACCAGCTTTGTTATTCTCTTTCATGATTG